GTTCAATTTCTATCATTTGCCATAGATGCACTCATGTGCGACATTTGGGCAGCAAGTTATCCAAATATGGAGGTATTAGTACTATCATGCCGGCCTATTATCCACTTTGCGCTCTCTATTGCAGACCCCACTCGAAGTATGTTTTTTTCATTTGGTGATTGTCATTTACGAGTGCCAGAGGTGTGTTTTTATGTGTGTAGACTTTCAATGCGTGTGACCTGCATAAACATGGTAATAAAGTAATCCCGCCTGTCGATGAGGAACTCCTGGAAGGCTTTACGCAGGAACTCCTCGAAGGCTTTACGCAGGAACTCCTGGAAGGCTTTACGCAGGCCAGTAATCCCGCCTGCCTTACTGATGCCTTACTGTTGCGTGTGACCTGCATACACATGGTATTACACATGTGCGCTTCTTAGCTTATGGCTTCTGCTACTCACCCTTTGACTATATATTTCAGATTTTCAGCGTGCAAGTAGCTAGTTTACTTGTGTAGTTGTGTTATGTATTTTTAAATTTTGTTTATTTTCTTGTTTAGAATTTTGGGAGCAGCCTGTTGTGTTTTGTAATTCCATTCTTTGCTTAGTTGTTTTATTTTGTAGTTTAGAGTTGAAATTTTACTTATTTATAGGAAAGATGTACTAAGTTGAACTAGTGTGTGATTACTGTAATGTCCACTTTGCAGGTGAAGTATGATAGAAGCAAGTGAGGTTTCAAACGATGAAGTTGGTAGCATAAGAACTGGTTTCATTCTGTGTAAGTCTTCAAAAGAAGATATGTGAAGGCCCTACGAAGTGTGGTGTAAAAGTTAGACTTGTTAGCGTTTTGTTCTTGTATATTAGTTGTTGTTTCGGGGTGTGCCCCCATAAATTATGTAGTATATACATTCACATTTATGTGAGAAATTGAGATATAAATAAAAATCTTTGAATTTTGGTTATTTATTAGTATTAAATTATATTACACACACACATACATTGAAATATATATATATATATATATATATATATATATATATATTTATGATACTAATGTATCATATATCTTTATGATACCAGAGTGTCAAAAAAAGTTATGATATTATAACGTCATAATTTTATATGATATTTTATTGTCATAATTTTGTGACACTAATCCGTTTAGCAACCAGTGACACTAAATTTTGTGTCACTTGCCCCGCTTTTCTGTGACACTTTCAGTGTGTCATTAAATCGTTTAGTGACACTAATTTAGTGTCACTATAAGCCATTTTTTTACTAGTGAAAACACACTGCTAGCATTCTGAAAACTTCCTGAGTGTTCAGACTTGTTCTCGTTCGCTGGAACTTTTGTTTGTGTGCTCAAACATTAGTTCGTAGTCATCGTATCATGGGAAACGATTGTTGCAACGCTCCTAGCACCGTGGGAGGCAACAAATACGTTTTAAGGACATCGTGCGTAGCACGAGCTTTGACTAATTCTGCTTCATCTCCTTTCTCGTTTTTCTCCAGTCATTTTATTTAATTAATTTTCTTTATTTTCCGAAACACACCCAACAGATATAATTGACTTATGTTAACACAATAAACTTGTAACCCGAACTATTGCATTTAAAGTATTTTTTTGAGAGAATTCCCCAAATAGGAGTAAACACGTTTTGAAATTCCAAAATAGTAGTATCATGTTTTTTATTCTCTAAATAGAAGTAAATTTCTGCCAAGCTTGGCATTACAAGGCTTTAAACATGACATTTTTTCCCAAACTTGGAAGATTACTCATATTCAGGGAATAAAAAACATGATACTCCTATTTTAGAATTTCAAAACGTTTTTTTTGCTCATATTTAGGGCAATTTCTATAATTTTTTCATTTACGTACCGTTGCAATGAAAATATGGAACTTGGAAGTTTTATACGGAACAAAATTGAAAATCCATAACAAGTAGAACTACTAACAAAATTTAATATTTGAATTAGATCAACAATATATATACTGATACTCACCACAAACGAAATCAAATAGTAATAATACAGCCTTATTATACCTCAAATAAATCAATGGCGAACCCTCAAAAGTTGACAAAATCCATTTCAGTAAGGGCGTGAAGATTCCAATTTAACTTTCGTATAAGAATGTGCAAATGAAATGAGAAACTTGAAACTAAAGTGGAAAGAAAACCAAAAAAAGTACTCAATAAAAAGAAAAGGTTGTAGTAAGTAGAATGAATGAAAATAATTAGTACTTTGTATTCATGTAGAAGGTGAAATAGGAGAACGGCATAATAGTATGACAAGGAAAAAATAACCCTTTAAAAATTATTTAATTTAATCTAATAACTACAAGTACTAAATGAAAGTCAAAGTGGAATATATGAGAATTAAAATGTTTTAAGCACCCCTCAAATCATTTCAATATAATTTTTTAATTTTTTTAATAACGTCAAAATCAGCCCTAAAAGTGTGAAAAAGAGTGAAACATCATCAAATGAAAGTGGAAAAAACTAAAATAGCAAGATTGCATGTGTGAAAATTTACTAAAATAGCACCTCCCATGTTCTTAAATGCATTCTAAAAGTTTAGGAAATAAATCTGGACAACTATTGTAAAAATAATTCATTTATAGTTGTGGGTTGCTCTTTCAATGGAATTACTGCTTATGGTTCGTTCATATCATGAATCGTAAAACTTAGGAGATTTATTTAAATAACATCCCTGACAATGATATCTGTTTTTAAACTACACCTATCACATTCAGAAATGAAAAATAATCTCAATTTTCATGATCATGTCTTATATTAAAGTTACATCCATGAGTAAAAGAATTGCCTTAATACACAATCTAGCTTATTTATCTGGCTCTCAAACAACGCTTTTAATGTTATGAAGGTGTTCTATTCATCTGATATGAATATTTAATTAACATATCAATTCAATCTAAAAAACTGTGTAACAACAAAGTCTTTAAATAATGAGACTCCAATACATGTAATAGGACTCTATTCATACAATTTAGTCTTACATATTTGAGTGAACCAAAATTTTTAAATAATGAAACTTTAGTCCACGCGGACGTGGCTCTAATCGTATTACACCAATAACACATGTGACTATCTAAAACAATTTATATTCAACAGACTCCCAACACTTCTTAGTATCACCCCTTATCATATAATAGACCCTATAAATAAATAATACTCCATAACTATTACAATAACTATCATATCAACAAGAATATAACCACAAATTCATACTCCAAAAGATGGCGATTCCTCACTCGTCTTCCACATGTGAAGATATTAAATATCATATACGTCCCGAGTGTATTGAAAAATTGTACTTTATTGCTTAATGCGCACATTATATATTTGAGATAATTACCCCACATATTACTAAAACATCACCACTTTCCCAATCTATGACTTAATGAGTTTTTTTCTCAAAATATAATTAAAATTCATAATAATTAATTATTATATTAATAAATTATATAATAAATTATTTATTATGGCTAATATGCCCTTACATTATTATTATAAAAGCCTAATTTCCTATTGCTTTTAACCCTAAATCTTATAGCCATGTCCCTGCGTAGATGCCCATCCATGCCGCACAGCGCACCGCCGCCCGATGTACGTCGCCGCCACCGCCAAATACAACCACGCCGCTGCTCGCCATACAGCCACATTGCCGCTGCCAAATACAGCCACACCGCTGCTCGCCATATAGCCATGCCGCCGTCGGAGCAAATTCGCCTACCCAAAAGTTGTGTAGTCTAGCTGAGAACTAGTCCCCTCCGACCCGGGTGCCATGGCATCATCGACGGCCGTAGCTGAGTCGCTTGCCCGATAACCTCCGCCCAAGTCCAGTCGTGCCGCCTCCACAAATGTCTGGCCTGGGAGCGCTGATATGGAGCTCCATGGTGAGATTCACTACCTTCCTTCCACAGACGCTAGGACTGGCAGCGCCGATCTAGAGCCCATGGATGAGATTCGCTTCAATCCCTTCACAGACCTGGCCTGGGAGCGCCGATCTTGATTCTGGAGCCCCATGATGAGATTGGCTTCATTCCGTCCACATATGTGAGGCCTGGTAGTGCCGATATGGAACACATGGAATCATGGATGAGATTTGCTTCATTGTGGCTCTGGATTTGAAATTACACGCACATATTCTTTCTTTTACATTTTTTAGATTCTTTCTTTTACATTTTTTTAGTTTAGGGTAAGAGCATTGAACATGAGAAGTGAATATGAGCATTGAGATTGGACAGTGAACATGGGAATAGATAGTGATGAACATGGTCAATGAGTATGTCAATATATATGGTGTACAAGGTAGTGAAAGAATGCATTAAGAAAGTTTGTTATGCACTGATTATGACCAGTAGTTTAGTAACACATAACGGCAATGTCACCATAAAATGCAATATACTTAATTAGAGATAAAATAATAAAATTTTTAAATATAAAAAATAAAAACTATAAATAAATTCCTAAAGTGAACGAGAAGAGAATTAATTTTTGCGCAAATGCATTGTTTATTACCGCATGTGCATTGATGTAGTGCAGTAATGTTGTGCAATAACGGCAATATAAAGTACAGTAATTTTAATTGCACGAAATCAGTACAAAACACACATATTTTAAATAAGGGTATTTTTGTCATTCAACATTTAAATATAAACAAATTTTCTTATTTTTGTTTTGGATTTTCAGTCATACAAAGGTATAAAAACTAGTTAGATCATAGATTGAGAAATTCGTTGAGTTTTAGTCATATCCTAGGAAATTTCTCTATATATTTTAAATAACATGATTTTTATTATTTAATTTGGTGGTGGTAAATACAATTACCAATAAGTTTATGATGTTTATTTTAGCGAATTAATATGAAGGGTAAACTTACTTATTAATGATGTATTTTTATTAATTAATAATTAGTTTGTGGTTGTGAATAATAATATGAATGATGTGAAATTACCAATATGTTTAATGTCCAGCTCACTTCAAAACTAATGTCCAGCCCACTCCAAAATTAAAACACAGCCCAGCCAAAATCTAATGCTACCCAAGTAACCCAACTGCGAAGACGAAGTGCTCAGCGCGAAGAGCAGAAGAGGCCACCAGCCGCGCTGCCGCCTGCCGTCCAGGTCCCTCCGTCGGCCCGTCGGCTTAACCGATCCAGCTGTCCAGACTAGTAGGCGACCAGGCAGTCCAGCACTTTGCCCTCCAGCTCCACTGCTCCACCTCCGGCCCTCCATTCTTCAGGTATACTCTAAGTCTCTATACTCTCTTAATGTATTATTTTGCGAGTTGTGAGTTGTGACTTTGTGTTTTTTTTTTTTAAATTTTGTAATTGTATTTGATCATTAATTGATTTTTTCTAGTAGGTAGTAAAGTAGTGTTTATTCATTATAAATTTATAATGATTAAAAGATAGAATTGAAGATTAGAGAATGGTTTATTTATTATATGATTGAAGATTAGAGAATGGTTTATTTATTGTAGGAACACGTAAGAATTAAAAATTTAGTTGAATTTTGAAATTGGGAATACTTATTAGTTTGAAGTACAATGATTGTTCTTTTCTTATTAGTTTTATAATTTTATAGAAGTATTTGAATTTATACCAATATTGAAAATGTTTTTTAGAATAAAAAATGCACATATTGCCAAGAAAGGAAAATGAAATGAATATTAACAAATGCACATAAAAAATGCACATATTGACAGATTTTAGGTGTTCGATTTTAACACACATCAACATGCTCGAATGTAGAAGTTTAGACTATACTCGTTAACAGATTCATGTTCGAATTATTCAATTAATACTCGAATCTTTAATAACCATTAATAATTTTATAAAATTGCCCTAAAAACGTTTAAATTTTAATTACTCCGTATATAATTTATTCCTATAATTTATAAGTGAACGATAGGTTCGAGTCCGAATTGAACCAAACATCACTATGTTCGAAGTTCGAACTGGGCTTGAGTAATTGTTCAAACACAAAACCTAATCTGTGTTCGAGTTCAAAGCTCGTTAAGCTCGGGTCATTAAATTAAAGGCGAAATCAAGCTCGAACTCAAGTATATAATTTCGAAAAAAGTTTGACAACAGTCGTGAGCTAAACATTGTGTGTATAGTAACAATTTTTTTTACTGCTTAGCCCACCCCACATCTCAATTCTGGATCTGCCCCTGTTACTTTACAAAAGCAGTTGATGGTTCTTACATTTCAACAAAAAACTGTATGTTCTACTGTTTTTGTCAGTTATACAGTGCCACTTTTCAAGAAAGTCCATTTTAGTTCCAAAATTCAAAATTGTGATTCATTATCATCATAGCTTAGTGTTCACTGCTTGAATTTGTTTTTCAGCTTTCGCTACATCATACCTTATATTGAGGTCAATAATAAAAGAGATGGCTGAAGATGCTGTACTAGGCTTTCTGGAGAAAAATGAAGAAATATTGGACTCTGGCAAGTTCTCTGAGGATAAAGGAATCAGCCATGATGAAATTGTCAATGCTATCAAAAGCCTTAATGGGTTTGGATTTGTCATTGCACAGGTGGGCAATTAATCCTTGTGTACATTGGAGGATCTCAAGTTTTTTTTATAATGCCTTTCTATGAGGTTCAAGTCACATTTCCATAGTATCTGTGCGACCATTCATCTCCAAGTTTTCTGATAAGTTTGAAGGAAGCATAATCCTGTGTCTTTTACGTTTGAGAAACCACACAGGATATCAAGAGAGAGAAATGGGTGCTTACTGAAGAGGGAAAAACATATGCTGCCGCTGGATCACCAGAAGTCCAACTTTTTTTAGCTATACCCCAAGAGGGTATATCACAAGATGACTTGCAGGTGATTAATGTTTTCCTTTTATTTTATTTACTTAGTCTACATAAGCTGCATCCTTTTGATATGGAAAACCAGTTGATTTAAAGAGATATACACCTGACAAATGAATACAGAAAAGATTGGACCCTGCAGTATTTAAAGTCGGTTGGCCACAAGCGATGAAGAACAAGTGGGTGGAAAAGGGGAAGGTCCTTGTATCAAGGAAGGTACGCTGACCAAAATGCTTCAAGTTTATTAACGTTATAAGTTTGTGTTTTATCTATATTTGTTTCACTTAGTTTTTTGGGTCTTTGAGTGGTCTACTTGTAGAAATGCTCTATGGTCGGTCCAAAAGATCCATGAAGGACCGTTTCTTTCATCTTTTGTGGTTTTGTATTCTTCTTCTATCACTACTAGAATTTGTCTTAGAGACTGTCGACTAAGCTTACAACTAATTGATGTCTTTCATGATCCATCCCATTTTCATGGGTTTGGCTTCTCCAGTGAGGCTTCACACATTTAGTGCAATGACTTTTTATAACATTTGCTACGTACAATTTATCCAGTAGTTGAAATTTCTTATCTTGAGACTAAATGTAATTTTTTAATAAAAACAACAGCTGAAACTTAAAACTAAAAGAAACAAGTGAAAAAGGAATTGGGTTATCAAATGAACAGTGATTTGGACGAACAAATTGAGTGGAGAGTGGTACTTATCTGATGTCTGTGTGCAGCGCCTTGTAAATTTATTATCTGTGATTCCCTTGGTGTAGGTACAAGATGTCGATGACACAGTCAAATATTTGCTTACACAAATTGATAATGGCGAGGTAATCATTTCGGACTAGATGTCTTTACATGCTTCCTTCTACTTCTATTTTCTTGACAGGATCGGTTTCACTTTTTCACTACTAATGTTGCGTCATGTTAATTTGTGCATTTATTGTTCATGTAGGTAGAAATAAATTAGATTCCAAAAAGGTAACTAAAAGGGTACCAACCAACCAGTGTCTAAAATTTCTTGCAAAGAAGTAACACGATGAGCTCTAACAGTAATCCTCATTCTTACAAACATCACACCAAATCATTTCGAAACCTCTACAGCTAGAAATTCTTGATGAATACATAACATAGAGTTGCTAATAATTAATTGTAACTTTAAGTTGCTTTCGTATCTATTGCTCTTGTATCAGTTGTATGTATTTATTATACTTGTTATGGTCTAAACTAATAAGAAGTCTATGTCCATTGCAGGCAGTAGATCCAAAAGATATTGATGCTCTTAAGCGAAGAAAATTAATCGTCTCTTTGTAATTCACTGATTGTTTCTTATATTTTTTCCCTTCATTTTTCTCTTGTTAGCATGTCTTGTTGTCTTTGTGTGCATTAATATTCTCGTATCTTGACTATATCCTCTATGATCCTTCTTTTAGGAGTTGGAAAGGCTATTCAGCAAGAAGGGGTCCTAAGTATGCTCCCAAAAGAATTAAAGAAGCTACCGACCTCACTCGGGAGAACCTACATAGGTTATTTGCTAAACACGCTACAATGACTTGTGGCTGTGAATTCCATCTATATCATATGCTTTCATGACAAATTAGTGATCACTTTAATTAAGAGAGTCGAAATGTTTTACCTGGTTATATTGGATCGACATGCTTGGTCTTCATTTGTAATGTACTCATATTATACCATTGGTGTCACTTGTAGTTATGAGTTCTGCATTTGCTATATGCCGTCATGGCATTGAGGCAACTTGTGGTTAAGGAATATGGATTACAATAATTTTAAGGTTCAATATTGCAGTTTGTTAAAATTGCAATATCTTAATGACTTGACTAACAAACACTTAAGAGTGTAGACCGAAGGTGTAATAGAAATTGCTTTTCATCGACCACCACTTGTATACCAAGATGTCACTCCTTCTAGAGTTCTGCACAGTTATTATTTCTACGACACTTTCAATTTCGTTCTTAGGAATATTTCAAAGTCATCCTATTGAAGTTGTGTTTACGGTTATTCAACCACTTAACCTGTCATTGTGGAAGGGGTGACATCTTGGTATACATTGGTCTAAAACTCTCAATATATTTAAACATCATGGAAAAGCTATGCCCAGTTTATTTATACATCTTAATTCTTAATCTTCTTCAGATGGAAGTTGCTTGGACGATTATTAGTGTGTAAATATTTACGTAATACTTTATAGTAAATATATAAGTTTGCCAACTAAAACGTTGCGACTTATTTTTTCTGAAGTGGTGATTGGAAGAATATGAAGGAGTATAACTTCTGTGCTAAAGGCCAGCCAGTTGAAGGGGGGCATCTTCATCCATTGCTCAAGGTTTTCCTTGATTCTATTATCTTCTCTGCATAATTGCTTTAACTGTTATCTAACTATTCAAACACCAAGTTGCTTGATAATTGATTTCAGAATAAAAACTAATATGCTCATCACTTTGATGTAGACAACTTTTATTGACTTTCAATAGGATATGGTAAACAAATTCGTATTGCTATAGAGGTCCTTTTTACTCCGCTTAAATCATCAACATGAAGTTCTAGAGCAGCATTTTGCTACTAATGCTTGAACAGTGTTTTTAATAATCTTTACAAACGTGAAATGCAAGAAAGACTGTAAAGGTAAGCGAAAATATTGTTTACATATGAGGAACTTTTGTGCCTTGTTGTTTCAAACTTTTAATGCTAAGAAGCTTTGTCAATTGGTTTTGGCTGCTATTTATGTGTGAAAACTATTGGTCTTGTTGATATGATATCTTTTCTCTGAAGTGGCTTTATTGATGGTCATGAGTGATTACCCAGACGATTAGTCGTTTGTAAATGCATTTTGTCTCTAAATGTTGGTAACTAAATTCTACGACTTGATTTTATCGCAGGTACGGCGCCAAGTTCAGATGATATTTCTTCAGATGGGGTATATAATCTAACACCTAGAAACACACACACTTCCACGCTCCTGTACATTTTGTATATGCTTGGATACCATAGACAATTATTTGTCTGTAACTCTGTGTAATGACTAATGACAAATATTTATACTCCATTCTCTTTTAACTGCCATTTTAGGTGTTTTGCACACAAGTATTTCAAAAGTTAAGGCAAAAATGCTAACTTGACTAGATTACCAATATTAATATTTTGAAAATATTTTGTACTACCTCCATCCCAGGGATAGGTTCCCGTTCACTATTTTTCGGTCAACGTAAATTGTTCTTAATCTTCCACTTTATATATCCGCCTTTTATCATTTTTTTTTTTTGTTTTTTGCGACTTAACTTTTAATGTAGTTTCTGAATATCTAAATTTTATTGACTAAAAATAACCTTATTATTGAGAGAGATCCATTAACTTCATCGCCGGTCAAACATCGTAAACCGCATAGGAACCTTTAGCCGGGGAGTAATATTTCATGGATGTAAAAGGGTGTGATCGATTAATGCTCTCTTGATCAGTGGAGGAGTCAAATCAACTTTAGGGGGGTAAAAATGAGCTCATCACAGTAATTAAATGATCATTCTGGCTTCTGAGACCATTTTTTAGTTGAGTCATTTATACGTGATTGGGATAAAACTGAGTTCAAGTTATATTAAGATATGTTATTTGGTTGATATATATAATAAGCTCAGAGCACAGATTAATTTTCGAAGTTTAGTTAGGTAAATGAAATTTGTATGTATAATTTTCTAATATACTATTGTATAAATTATTGTATTATACTTGAAGTCTCTCACGTGCGCAGAGATGGTGTAAATATAAGACTCGTGTATACACTCCAGCCTTAGTGTGTCCAATGTCTTCACAATTGGAAACTCAAATAATCTCAATTTTACTGATTCCAAAGTTTTAGATAAAACTGATTTTTCCATGGGTCACAATGGTAATGAATTACAGATCCCGTAATATATCAAATCAAAGGTATTTCAGTGCTCTTCCTTCTCGAAGAATTTCCAGGGCAGTGATCTGCCCACCCTGAACCCCCTGGCTGCGCCCCTGCTGTTGTTATTCTAAAGTGACAGTTATTTGAGAACAAATTGTTTTCTCTAAAGCAACAATTAAAAGAAAACAGAGGCAGTGTAAGTTATGAATTAATTTTGAAAAGCTGTTTGGTGTTTGTTCTCTTTAATTGAACAGGTTTGAGGAGATGCCAACGAACAATTATGTTGAGAGCAGGTAATATTTTACTAGTTTGTTCACAGATGTTGGATTGTAGACTATAAGCAAACAAGTAACATTTTCCTTTGACTTTTATAGCTTTTGGAATTTTGATGCCCTTTTCCAACCGCAACAACACCCCGCTCGTGATTCACATGACACTTTCTTTTTGAAAGGTTTGCCTGCTCACAATTTTGTTTGAGTTGGCTGCGCGTAATTTTTTGTTTTACAGATAAACTTTATTTTTTGTATAGAACCTTCCACCACAAGGGAGCTCCCTGAAGATTATGTTGAACTAGTTAGGAAAGTTCATGAACATGGTGGCTATGGATCTCGAGGGTACGTGATATAATCAATACCAATTTGCAATTTAAAGATTCCATGTTCACAAATGGGTATGTGAAATGATGTTCTCTCTTCATAGATATGGGTATGACTGGAAAAGAGCCGAGGCAAACAAGAATCTGTTACGGACACATACTACTGCTGTTTCATCAAGAATGTTGTATCAGCTGGCACAGGTTCATTCTCCTTAAGTTTTAGATGTTTTTTGTTAAACCAAATGGCAATGCTTATAGGAATTTAGCCTTTCACGTTCTTCTTCAGTTCTGAAAACGTTTGATGAGCTTTTATTTGCAGAACAAACCATTTACTCCCAAGAAGTACTATTCTATTGATCGTGTGTTTAGAAATGAAGCTGTTGACCGCACACATCTGGCTGAGTTCCATCAGATAGAAGGTCTTCAACTATATGATATGAGCAAGGAAACCTTATATTATTATTACTATTATTATTAGTATTCCTATGTATGCTTTAGGGCTTAGGCACCTTCCTCATTAGCATTTATCTGTTTTTACAATTATTCCTATTCTGCTTTAGGCAACTTCTTAATTAGCATTTATTTCCATTTATAATTAGGACTCTTGTAAATTGTAATAGCTATCTAAGGGTCAACAGTATTTTTCAATAACAGCTTGGAAAGAATTAACTCTTGTGTATCTTGACAAGGTCGGGCACCGATTAATCCTAGCATAGGCTTATTTTATTATTCCTCTCTCATATTCTCTATTCCCTAGATCTAGAATGAGATCCCAACCCCGCTCGTAACATTTTGGTACCAGAGCCTTTACGTTCCTGCATACTCGTTTTGATTACTTAGTTTGATAACCATTTTTCTCTTAATATGATTATTTTTTTCAGGTTTAGTATGCGATCGAGATCTTAGTCTTGGTGATTTATTAGGGGTTCTTCATGATTTCTTCTCCCGTTTAGGTAGTCTTAGAACTCATTAGCATCATCAATTCTTATAAATTCACACATATCTAACATTGTTAGTTGAACTTTGACTACTTGCAGGAATGTCCAAGCTTCGGTTCAAACCTGCTTATAATCCATATACTGAACCCAGCATGGAAATTTTCAGGTAATAGGCGTAATAATCACAAAGAATGTTTTTTTTTTTCCGACATGAGCAATTATTTATTATTTACCCTTGATGTTTTGTGGTCAGTTACCATGAAGGATTTAAGAAATGGGTGGAAGTTGGAAATTCTGGAATGTTTAGACCTGAAATGTTGCTTCCTATGGGGCTTCCAGAAGATGTCCGTGTTATTGCTTGGGGCCTTTCCCTTGAGAGGTGATGCAATAAATTTTATAGTAGTGATTTCCATTGACTTCTGTATACATCTCTTTCTCCAATTTGGAGTAGTATTAAGTACAATTATTATCATGATGATGATGATCAGCTTACTTCCCTTTGCCTCCATGAGAATTGACCAAAGTTTGATCTCTTATTTTTTCTCAGGCCAACTATGATACTTTACGGGATTGACAATATTAGAGAACTGTTTGGACATAAGGTAAAAATCATACGCATGATTAATGGCCTGTCTAGTAATGGCCTAACAATACTGTTTGATTAGTGATGACTTCCATTTTAGCCAATTCAAAAGAAGAATAAGATAGATAAGGCTGCCAAAGGAGCCTAACTCATGGTCCATGTTTTAAGTGATTTATCCTTAATTTCTTCTTGCAGGTGGATCTTGGTCTCATAAAGAAGAACCCCATATGCCGCCTTGGACTTGAGTAAAAGGATGCCACCATTTTAACTGCTCTTTAATATCTTCTACGTGTTTGGTGCAGTAGATTGAGAGCAGATTTAGATCCCAGTACCCATTTTTTATACAATTTTACCTCAAAAAATGTTGCATTTTAACCAATGACCGTTGCATACATCAGATTAGCTGTTATTTGAAGAATATTCTTATTTTCCCCTTGGCTCAGTTGTAACCTATTTAATTTTTTGAATATGTATACACAAGGATAATATTTGAATGGTTTTGTCGTTAAGATGAGCCTAATGGAGTAATTTAAGTTGGGACAGCTAACTTTTAATTGGTTCTTTGAAAATGTGTTTATGGGGCAAGTGATAAAAAACAGTTACGGAGTAGTATTTTATGGTTATACCTCTTTAAATTCCTTGATAGTAAATAATGTTTGTAGTAATACTATCAAATTCTTTAATCTCATATTTTACTTGAAATTATCATATGGGAACGTGAAAGTTTTGCATATATAGTTCTAAATATGTGTTCATAGCTGACCAGGCCTAATGATCTAAAATACAGTATTAGTTGCAATCTTACGTTCACCAGACTATTTGAATAAATACAGTATTCTTTCAACAATGTAGCTCTCAAAGCATATAACACAAACAGTATTCATACAAATATAGAAACAATTAGTACTCTCAAAGTCCTAAAGAATTTGATCCTGAAAGTTTAGTGTATAAAAAAGTGCTAGATTAGAATTAAGATCATTTTTAAGAATGTTGAAAATAACAAACCAATAAAAACATAGAGAACCTATGTGAAATATGTTAAATTTACTCAATTACTTACTATAAAAATCTAAAATATAGCTACCATGTAAATAACAATAAATTTGTATTTTGAATTTTTGATCAAGGCGATTATTTTATAGAGCATATGAAGTATGGAAAGAAAATAAAAGTGAAACCTAATAAGTATACACCCTCACTGGTATTTTGTACTCCGAAAAAAAGTTCTTTATTCGGGATATACTATCAAATAATACATCATCATCATGATAATTATTGTAACTATTACTACTCCAAATTGAAGAAAGATATGTATACAGAAGTCAATGGAAATCGATACTATAAAATTTATTGCATCACCTCTCAAGGGAAAGGCCCCAAGCAATAACACAGACGTCTTCTGGAAGCCCCATAGGAAGCATCATTTCGGTTCTAAACATTCCATCATTTCATAGGCGAAAGGATCAAATAAGCCATCAAACTAACTTAAAAAGTGCAATTCACCCGTTATATAGGAGGCTGTGTCCGACCGTCGCCAATTGGGGCGATTCCCGGTGGAATTTTTTGATGAACAGTTTTGAGCATCTTATTCATTAAGTCTAGTTTACCCGTACCAAATTTCGGATCAAAATTCAACCGGATAGATAGTCAAATGATTTTCTGAAATGTGCTTAACTGCGCAGTTATCTTTAAAAATTCATTTAACTGCCTTCCCGATTGAATTTTCAGGGTATGAGTAAACTTGACTTAATGAAGAATATTCTAAAAACAAATCATAAAAAAATTCCATCGGGAACCGCTCCAATTGGCGACGGCCGGACAGAGCCTCCTATATAATTGGTGAATTGTACTTTTTAAGTTAGTTCGAGGGCCTATCTGACCCTTTAGCCGAATTTCATATATGGGTTTGCTATTTTTTTTTTCTTTTTTTTCTTTTTTTTCTTCCTATTTCTATATATGAGAAATTTATAGATGTTAGGCGTTGTTTTGACAATCATTGGGAAATTTATAGAAATTTATAGAAATTTCTTGCACCAAAAAATTATTTATAGCATAGAGGCGACCTTTAAACAAGGGCATATGATGGTTGTTCATCGTGAATGCTGCTTCCCTTGCATCACTGAGACATTTAAACCTGTCAAAAACAACAATGAAGTTTCGCATAATATTTCCAAGGATCGATACCATTCATATGATACCTCCCTCACGTTTAAAAAGAGTTTGAAACGGAGTGCGGTGGACCAAAAATGACAATTAACAATATAAAACTCTATTTATTAGCGCCAAACATGTTGTTATCACGATGTTGCAACCCATTATTCCATTTTTTAAATATTTAACGTTTTGCGGTGGCTATATGTCTATATAAAAAATTGAAAATAATAATCTCAACTATTACCAGTCCACTATATCTCAACTATCAATTATTTCTGGGTAGTCCCAACTATAGGCATTATTTTCCAAAAATAGTCCCTAACTTGCTACAACCTGGTATAGCAGGTCAAATTTAAATACGAACTATGCATAAGCTATAATTAATCCCAACTATAGCCGATCTTCTTTTATTAATCCCAATTATCAACTCTCAATTTTAGAAAAAAAATTATAAATTTTCAAATTGAATATTTTTAAACATGTAAAAATCATTGTGAAAACTCTATAAATGTACCGAAGTTAAATAAAATAGTTTAAGTCATTTTTTTATTTATTTTCACTAAAACTTCTTTTTTTCTTTTTCCCAATTTATTATTCCCAGTTGTGTTAACAAGTTAGATTTGATATTATTTTCCTTTATTCAATTTTACACTTTCCGTTTTCAAAAAGCAAAATGCGACTAATTTTGTATACGATTGAAAGATTTATTCTAAATTTTTTCATGAAAATATATTGTATATATTTTAATGCTATGTTAATTCTAAATTCTCTATTTTATCCATTTTAGTATTTGTAATTTCTTTCTATTTCCTTTATTTTATATTATTATATTCTATAAATTATAAAATATAGTTTATCCTTCAATTTTAGTGATTTGGGACATAGTTTTTGAGGTTTTGGTTAGTTTTCATGAAAATGTATTAATATTGTAATTTTAAATGATATAATGGAAATTGTACAATATGAAGAACAAATGTATCACTTGAAATTAAAATATTAATAGAATTTCATTAACATAGTCAAAACCTCCAAATCCTATGTCCCAAATCACTAGAATTAAATGATAAACTATATCATATCATTTATAGAATATAATAGCATAAAATAAAGAAAATATAAATAAAAAATAGAAAAAATAGATAATTTTGATTTTTACAATTGAGATAGCATAAAAATTTAATAAAATAGATTTTCAAGAAAAAGTCTAGAACAAATATTTAAATCGTAATTTTTTAATCACAATATACTTTGTGAAGACACTAAATATAAAATTGAATAAAGGAAAATAATACAAATTCATAACTTCTTAACACAACTAGGAATAATAAATTGGAAAAAAGAAAAAAATGAAATTTTAGTGAAAATAAATAAAAAATGACTAAAATATTCTTATTTAACTTCGGTACATTTGTAGAATTTTCATAATTATTTTTACATGTTTAAAAATATTTAATTTGGCAATATTTTAAAAATTGAGATTAATAAAAGAAGATCGACTATAGTTGGGATTATTTATAGCTTACACATAGTTCATATTTAAATTTAACCTGCTATACCAGGTTGTAGTAGATTAGAGACTCTTTTTGGAAAAAGGTCCCTATAGTTGGGACTACTGAGGAATAATCGATAGTTGAGATTATTAATAACGGACCAGCAATAGTTGGGATAATTATTTTCAATTTTTCCATACATTTATTATGTAGTGACTTAAATATAAGACATTACCACAACCACACAGCTCCACAAAAGTGTAAGAGTATGTTTGGCACAATTAGCTGAAGAGGTACTTTTATGAATTTTTTTTGTAACTGTTAGCTTTTAATGACCGAAATTTTTTTAAAAGAAAAAGGTATTAGCTGTTTCATAAAAGTTGATTCTTTGATTTAGTTAAATGTGAAGATAAACATGGGGGCATATTTAACGATCGCTGAAATTTTGTTGATGACAAACATCCCTCTGTGCAACTTATTTTGCTACAAATTAATTCCTTCTTCTTTGCACAAATTTCAACCACACAATTTTATTTTATGAATTCTTGTCATGCATAATCATACTTGGCAAAATTTTAAGGGACGGACGGGGCAGTTTTTTGTAAACAAATTGGATTTAAAATGATAAGGTTAAAACAATTGCAAAATTAAAAATAATTGTCATGTCACATGGGAGGTTACTCAGTTTTCCCCGATCTCCCAAACATACCCTAAAAATCTTAATTCTCTATTGGGAGCTTTTGATTTAGGGAGGGATTGTGACGAACCGACGATATTTCAGAAGCCCCAAAAATTATACGGAGTAGTCCCGAGATTAACTGTGAATAATTGAAATTATTGGGGATGATGGCAAGAAGAAGCTTTCGAAGTGAAGAAGAGGTGGAGGATGAATCACTTTGCAACTTGCCGCCTGGAGGATAATAAATTTATTGAACAGATCAATTTGCAGATGGTTCTATGGTCTAGCGGTTAGGACATTGGACTCTGAATCCAGTAACCCGAGTTCAATTCTCGGTAGAACCTTAATTTTTTGCTTCAGCCGTTTTTATATCTTTTTTATACTATCTATGAAAAAATCATTATAACGATCACTAACAACTCATATAATTACACTGTTTGACGAATACTCTTTTCACTAGTGTGCACTCAACTGCTCAACACATTTATTGTAGTCCGTATTTAATAATTTGCTCTTATTTTTTGGCAATTAAGTAACAAGTATTCTTCACAATGTATATTTTGGCAAAACAGTATAATTTTTTTGCTACTCCTTAAATTTCTTCGATATAGTGACAGTTTCTATTTCGTAAGATTATCATAACAATGGTATAGAGTAAGACTAATAAGTCGAGTGATAAAAAAAACTGAAATTGATATAGAGTAGGTAGGAAACAGTAAACTTCAAAAGGTAAAAGGTTTGTAAGATAATAATGCTCAATATACTATCGTAATTGCTTTCTATATCCATTTTGAAAGCTCAGTTTTAGCCTTTTAGGTACTTCATAATTAAATTAAAGGTGCTAATGTATGCGTATTAATTTGCATAAACCAATAGAAAGGAGACATTAACAACTCATATAATTATACTGTTTAACGAATACTCTTTTATCATAAGTGTGCACTCAACATATTTTATGGTATTATTCTAGGAAAAACATATTTTATGGTATTGAGTCATACTAGGTTTTTTTTTTTTTAAATTCCAGAATATAAGGGTGGGGAGTGGTTTTATAGGTGTAGTAGTTGTCCAGCACTAAGAAATTCTTGATCATGTAACATCCGTTCTCCACCAGTCTAGACTTGTAAAGGGACATAAACGGCCTCTTAATCACTGCATGTATTTTGTCGCCCTGCATTGCCATGAAATTAATACTCCGTACTTGTTAACCTAACATGTAACAAAAAAGACTTAAACTTCAAGTAAATGAAAAATCGAAAGATAAACTACCTCTTCATCATGAAAAATGACCTCCGTTCATTGACCACCTTTTGATTGTGGGAGCATCCTCAAAAGCCCTTACAACCCGTACTTTGGGAGGAATTGGAGCCCATGTTGAGTTGTTGACCTGGTGTGGTCAACCTCCCTTATCATAGAGTACATTCATGTGTTATTTGCTTGAGTATTTTTTGTGTTTTTTGTCATCGTGAGATATGGATTTGAAGTGAGGATGACACCCGAATTATAGGGAATTCGAAATTGTATGTGTCTTGCAATGATGATGAAATACCCAGTATGTAATAAGCTTAAACCCTCAATCACCTCACTAATGTTCAACCATCTCAATAAATGCTCAATCACCCACGTTCAATGCGTTTGACCACAAAGGCTCATATCAATAAGTTCGAAATTGAACTTCGTTGACCGGAATACGTTTTCATTCAATGGGAAAATCTAATAGCATAAGTTACATCGGAATAAACAAAATTTTAAATAAAAACAAAATATTCAACATATGTGGATCCAAACCTGGCAGAATCAAATCCTAAATATTTTTTGACCCGGTGAAATGGGCAAGAAAAGTGGCAGCCATTCCACTTATATAGTAGGATTTTATGATTAAAAAAGAGATGTTTGTCTTCAACAAAATTTCAGCCGCACAAGATCATTAAATATGCATCCATGTTCTTATTTATTTTTGAATTCTTAAACACTATTTTTTAACTCTAGTTAGGTGATTAATTATGTCCATGCTAAATTGCTAACAAGCGGCAGAGCCAACTTTTCATTAATTTCATAGCTAACTAGGAGCAAAGCTCAACTATAAATCTAAGTAAGTACGAAGTATGTAACTATGCGGTATAAAATACCTTTAGACCTGCTAGAACACTAAAAATGACGGAAAGAAAAAAAATAAAGTATTGCAAAAAAATCACATTTCTTACTTTGCAATATATAATATAAAAATGCCCTAAACAGAACTAAAACAAATCTGATTGGATGTTTTTAAAAAAGTGTGTATATATATGTCTATGCATTGTCTTAATATACAAGATTGAACTTTTTTTTTACCCCAAAGGGCGTCACGCGAGGGGAGTTTGGGGGACTTGGGGTAAACTACTATCAATCTTACTCCTTTGAGAATTGAACCCAAGAACTCCCATAAGGGTTGAACCGCTTCCTCCTTAATATACAAGAACTGTATACAAATAAAATAATGTCTGATAACTAGAAAATCTAGTTTTATATTATTAGATTCTCTTGAATTTTCTCAACACCATTTTTCATTCACTTTATATTCTTTACTCAACATGTTTCATATTCTGAGATCTTGGAAATTAGATTCAAGTTCGAGTAGAAACTATGTAGTTGTTTAATTGACTAAATCTGAAGCCTTTTCACACTCACTCTTATGTAGGCATGGACCGGTTCTGGGCCAGTCCAAACTGGGCTTTTATTTTTTGGGGACGGGCCGACGAGCCCAAAACCAGTCCGGTTTGCAAATTGCAACCAGGCCCGGGCCAGTTTTTTTTTTTTTTTTGCTTTTCTAATTACCCCCCCCCCCCTACCCCCACCCCCCAAAACACCTAGCCCAACCTGGGAAAAACAAAAAAATTGAAAAAAAAAACAAAAAACAAAAATTAAATAGGCCCAAACCGGGCCCGGCCGGTTCCAAAGGAAGGGTAGGCCCGGAACTGGACCGCTCTAACACACCGGGCCGGTCCGGGCCCGCACAGTGGTGGGTCGGGCCGGTTCCCGGGCCGGGCCGACCGGAACCAGTCCATGCCTACTCTTATGAGTTGTGTTTTTTGTGCTGTCTTTTGAAAAGACAACTTTACCATATTTCAAAGGTTGTTGTATACTGTATATAATATATGTAACACTGCATCAGCCAAAGAAAAACATGTAACTTACATATTTCTGTTATTGTATTCGACAAAAATGAAATCGAACAAAATTTTCAAGTTGAATATGGGAAACACACAAGCATCCATATTTTGAAATACACCTAAACTCGTATCCAAAATATAATGATTATAGAAGAACATGATACACTTGTTGAGGTAGAACCACTGGCACAAATCAAGTGATGCACTTGGTGATCAAGCCGCCTTTCAAGGTTGAAAGTGAAACCTGGCAACCATAGAAACAATTAAACAAAGCAAGTTGAAGAAAATGGATCATCAAACCATTTCTAGCACAAACAAAAATAATATTTAATAAATAGATCATTACATGAACTTATCAAACTGACAACATTTGATCAAAGGAACTCTTCTGGATTGAATTCATGTTGCATACAACACTCCAATGCATCAAGTTTAGGTTTTGCGGCGAGCTGAATATGGCTTCTGCTTAGTTGGCAGATACACAAATCTGTCGAGATCCATTTCCCTGGGTGAATTTTAGAAAAAGACGTAAGTTAGATTTTCTACTATATAAAGAGAGTAAATGCATCTCCAATCATCCAATGAAGACAAAAACAGAAATACAAAGAACAAGGTTGAGAATATACCTGCTTTTGCTTACATTCCTGATGTCTTTCAGTGGGGCACGAAGACCGCTGGCACGGGAACCATTTGAGGTGAACTTAAATGAAGAGATTACTGAAACAAATTTCTCCACTGATTTTTCAGATATTTCACCGTATTTTCCCAAATGAGATACATCAGAACCAAACTTCATATTATCAGCTTTGACTTCCCCAGTAGAATCATAATTGTCAAATGCAGGATCAACTGGAAAATACATGTGTTACAAACATATATAATACCAAAGAGACCCTTACCAAATGTTCTCTCTAAATAGAGCACTTTTTTTAAAGCCTCTAAATAGAGCACTTCTACTAGTATAGAATGACTTGTGCTACTACATAGCAATTTACTCGAAAAAATCAAGGGTAGTTAATGACGGGATAATTACAAAAACTCATAGTGTTATATGAGTCTCATTGAGTCATACTCCGTATAGGCTAATTCATCATTTCAGGCAAACTACCAGTCCACCACTCATTTCATAAAGGATAATAGTGGGTGACCCCACTAAGAAAACGGATGGTGATGGTGTCACCAAATAAGCCTATATCACTCTATATAGATGGCTCATTGGTATTGGGAAGACAATTTTATATTTTGACTAGAAATTCCAAAACAGAAATTATTTTGCAAAATTTTAAACCTCCCAAAATGATGCTTATTATCAAAAGGAGAGTATAACAAGCCTCAGTTCGAGAATTTGGCGTACATTTATTGTTTGAAGAAGAATCACCAAAGGTATTACGACTAGCTTTTAGTCCTTTTACAGTATCCTGCAGTAAAGAAATGAAATATTAGGATACCAGCACACTTAGAGCAAAATTTGAATAATGGTTTAGCAAAGGGAGCTTACTTTTTCATTAGCATTGTTGAATGCAACCTTTCGTTTCCTTAAATTCCCTTCACTATGGCGTAAGCAATTCTCAGAGGTTTCATCAACCTCAGCAGCAATGGCATCTTCTATACTATTTCCGTTTGATGAAACCTGCTGCTGAAAATATGAGCTTCTCACAACTTTCCTTTTTTCTGATTTCATTTTACTATTATCTGCAGAAAGATAAAAACATGTATTAATGAGAGAAAACATAAATATGACTAAAACATAATATATTTCTTGAAATAGAAGTATAGGACCATGGGTTATTCGTGAAAATAGAACTCATTGACTCTTAAAATAAGAATTATAAACTATTATTCCATTTTAGGACTGAATGAGTCATATTTGTAGCACAAACAAGGATACTTCTATTTGTGCACTTGATTCGCATTTTACTCATACTATGCACTAATTTCTGTATATTAATTTATACTGGTAGCATTACTATGCCAATCACTATATAGCACTAACTTTTTTCCTCAGCGGAAGTATGCTGAAACTCGAAACTCCTCAATGTGGTTATTGGATCAACTGTTTTCATCTTCCCTTCAATGGCCACTGAAGCAGAAGGGCATTCTTCAGCAAAATTAGACTTACAATGATCTTTTGGAGAAGAATCGCCGAAGGTATTACAACTAGCTTTTAGTTCTTTTTCAGTGTCCTGCAGTAAAAAAATAAAAAATAAGAAACCAGCAGACTTGAAGCAGAATTTCAATATTACTTTGTCAAAGGGAGCTTATGTATTCAATAGCATAATTAGCATTGTTGAATGTAACCTTTTGTTTAGTTAAAGTTCCTTCATTATAGCGCAAGGAACTCTCAGGCTTCACAGTTTCATCAACCTCAGCAGCAATGGCATCTTCTAAGCTATTTCTGCTTCTCACAATTTTCTTTTTTTCTGATTTCATTTTACTATTATCTGCACACAGATAAAAATATATATTCATGAGATACCATATATACGACTAAAATATACTAGTAATACATTTCTTGAAATAGGACAATTTTTTTCCAGAGAAAATAGAACTCATTGACCCTTCAAAGAAGAATTATAAACTATTTTTCCATTTTAGGACTGAATGAGTCATATTTTTAGCACAAAACAAGGATACTCCTATTTGTACACTTGCCTCATGCTTTACTCATATTATGCAGTAATTTCTTTATATTAATCTATAGTGGTAACATTACTATGTCAATCACTATCTATTATGGTAAAATATATTATCACACTGACATTTTTCCTCTGTGGAATCACACTGGAATTCAAAACTCTTCAATGTGGTTATTGGGTTAACTGTTTTCGTCTTCGCGTCAATGGCCACTGAAGCAGAAGGGCATTCTTCAGCAGAAGTAGTGCTCTTGCATATATCATTGGCGGACTCATCACTGATATTTTCCTTCTCAGTCTTCTTAGGCAAAAAATAGGAACTTCTTACAACTACTTTCCCATTCTCAGTTATTATTGTCTTGCTTTTCGAACGGCTTGAAGCCCTATCCTTATGCAACAGAACACAGGGTTTGCAGATTGAATGTCGAAATGGAGTTTGATTATGCATTCCTTGATCATCTGAGACTAACTCCTCACGAATTCCTACATGAAAAAACATGGAAAGAGAGTGTTCAGGCAATGTTGGAACTGTTATTACATTTACCTTCCACAAGGTTTGGTGAACTTACCAAATACTCCTTGAGGAGTTGAGGTTTATGAAAATTATAAAAATGACCCTTGATCCGTCATATTTTCGCAAGCAACCTTTTTTAGCTCTGAAAATAATAGAATTTGATGACTTTAAAAAGTCGAGCACCACCACATTGAGATTGGTGTTTTAAATGCATTTCATCGGCTAGGTAATTTAACAGCTTTATCTCAAAAATAATCTGAGACAATAGCTGAGAGTAATCTAGTATGTAAAAACTCGACTTCTACCATCGTGCATTGTCCTCTGTAGAAAAAACTTACCGGTCAGGTGTTTTTTCGCAATTTCAGAAACCTCATGGACCCCTTGGTAATTTGACCGAACCTCGTAGGAATTAGATGTAATTAACCCTAACTGTAATTCCATAGTTTTAAAGTTTACATGGCCCAAAAAAAATAGTTTGCTGACTTTGCTCTTTCCACCCTTACCATTACTAGTTGACTCCAAATGACAATCCCCTGTTGCACTGGCAATATCATCCACCTAAATGAGGGGAAAATATCAGAGAACTGCTTATGGGAATTAAACAGCTGAGGTGTAATTGCTATACTCCCTCCGCCGTATAAAAGTTGGCCGAAGTAGATTTGCACGTGGAATAATAAATTGAAAAAAAATGTCTTTTTTTGAGTTTTTGCGGAGAAGAGAGAAATAACATTAACCACAATTTTGTTGCTTTATAAAGAAATGGCAAAGTTTTTTGGGAAGGCTAAATAAGGAAAGTTGGCCAAGTTTGTGGGGCGGAGGGAGGGCGTATCCGCGTATATAATAGACGACTGATATATTCACATTGTTTTCGTCTTCACGAACAGGTGGGGACACTGATGAGCTCCCTAATTCACAAGAATCATCTTCAGTGAAAGAATCCAGCAATGCACTAGGTGATCCATCCTCTGGATTCAGATGGATAGGTACAACCCATGGAGCTCTGAATTCTTGTTTAGCTTCAATCGAAGCAATACCTTAAGATGCTAAGGATAATTCGTCAACTTTTAATATGGAAGGTATGTGTAAGGTTACATTTTAAGTAGAAAACTTGCAGCAAGTTTACAATTATCTAAACATAATAAACTAGGTTCCAGCATCAATATAATAAGTTTACAATATATCTAATATAGCAAGTTTACCATCTAAACCAAAACCAAAACAAAAACCAAAACCAAAACTAGTTTCAGATTCAAAGAGAAGTAACAAATAGAGAGCCAAGTAATGAACAAAAGGATACAAAAATACTTGGTTAGGAGATTCTTTTGTGCAGGCAAATCAGGCTTATTCCTTTGAACTTCAGGCTTGAAAATCTTCTGTTGATTAGATTGTGTATAATTCCAGGTAGTGCCATCAATATCTTTCTGTTGATTTCAAATTCTATACATTACAAAAATAATTATGAAGAAAAAGAAATACATATTGAACAAATATAAGGGGTTTAGAAGCATGTCAAAAAACAATTATAAACCTCTATTCCACATAAGAACTTTATCATTTTAAATTTCCCTTTACTTAAATCAGGATCAATATAATACCTGAAACGGCATTTTAGTTAGAGGATCAAGCTCACCCCTTGCTATGCCTTTAGCTACTTCTGGGGTAAGCACTGTATTGTCAATTAAGGTTACAATACAAATAGACTCAAAATATAGATTACACTTTTCACATAACTAATAAAATGGAAAGATGGGTGATTATGCAAGGATATGGGCCTAGGAACTCAAGATCTTCATCACCACCGGCAGGAACCTCAGACAAGTGAACTAATTCTTCAGAAACAGGATCATAAACCCTTTGATGCAGGAAAGTCATGATTGCTTTCTTGAAAGATTCTTCATAAAAAGGAGGTACTGCAACAGTACTATACCTCAAGTGTTTAATTACCTGTATGAACGATAAGATTCAGTCTGCATATGCAATGGGATTCAGGAAATTTTGAAAGGTCATGTAGTAGAATGTGGCATAATAACTAATAAATCTTTTTACAGCAGTTCTTTTGTTCTCACCTTGTCATAACTTCTGAACTTTTTCATCAATGCATGAGCTTTTTTTAGACCCATCCCAGGCAAAGACTGTAAATAGTCACAACCACTCAATATGCACATCTCAAGAACCATCTGCTTTGTGAAACCCGTAAAGTTTAACTCCTTGTTCTGTTGCAGCATGGAAAACTGGAATTCAACTCCTTGCCCATACTTGTCCATTTTGTATATGATCTGTATACCCAAATTTATTATGAACCATGATAGAAAAGTGTTGCGCAAAAAAATGCCGTTATAACTAGATAGCTTACTCTAGGACAACCAAAGGCAATCAAATCTGAGTCCTCTGTTATAACTGCATCGACCTGTTTGGTGACAGCCAGTAATGTCATTTCGGCATCTGCCTCATATGGTGCCACAACATACTGCACACATTCCTGTTTTAACACCTTGCATAGACAAATATATAAAAATGTTAGTAGCTTAGCCAACGGAACATCTAGCATCACTAAAATTAATCACTACCTGTATCAGGTCATAAGCCACTGAAGGTGATATGTCAACAGCCTTTTGGTAACATTCATAAGCAGCAGTCTGATTTCCATTAGACTCATGCTCAATAGCCCGAGACAGGCTTTCCTTCCTTACCCTGTTCTCAAAAGTAGTACATAAGTCATCAAGTAGTCTCTCATTTGACTACCATGCAGAAAACTCTTGATTTCTTCAATAATGATTATTAAGAACTTAACTTTAACTATAAACCCTTTTAACCATGGAATCAACAATCATAAGGGTCATTGTAGACAATATGGAGGCAATCCCCATAAATAACAGGATAAATCATACAGAGTAATTACCTCTTTAAGTCTCAAATGTTTAAACGACTCTCCCATAACTAATATGAAGCAAACTAGGTCAGGATGCAAATAGGGTTGTCATGCATCCAGTAAGCTAAGAAATTATTTTAACACGATTACACAATCAACAAAAGAACCTGGGATTGCCGTGCTTTCAAAAGGAGAAGAAGAGAAAATTGTATCTTTTTCTTTCATTACTATATGGTGCGTGACACCAAGATAGAAATATAGCTATACTTTACCATGATAAAGTAGACCTCATAAAAAATTAAAAGTAGCATGCATCACCTTTATGCATCCATATGTAGAAAGTGGCACATCACGTCTATGAGGTTTGCACCAGATGGAGGGCATTTTGAGAAATTAAACTGTAGTGGTTGAAAGAAACTAAAAGATATATTGATTATGTGAGGAAACTATCCCACTTTTTATTCCAACCCTGATTTTTAGCTTTCAGGCCCACTGGTACAGATCTGTTGTCCCTTATAGTCCTTCAGACAACTTATCCATTCTACTTTCAAACAATTTCCATTTTTCCCAGGTCAGTGGGTAGAGAGTACCAAAAGTGGCAAAAGATCATAGGCATGCACAAAAAGTGGAGAAAAAGAAAGCTATCTATGGATATTGATGAGGATCACAAACTAGTTACACACCAAAAATGAAATTTTTGCTAGTATAAGTACCTTGCACGTTTAGACTCTTGGTCACCCTTCATTGGCAAAAAACCTCCATCAAACACCAGAATAGGCTTAACACCATAATGACGTAGCAAGTTTACTCTATGCATGCAATAGTTAATGTGCCTAGCAATCATTGAAAGTCCACAGTCAGATGACTATTTGATAAAGATATTACCAGTTCATTTTTTAACTTCCTAGTAAGGATAAAAACACTCTTGAACTAGCAACTATCAGACTGTCAAAGAGAACAAAAGAACAAAACGTATAAGGTATCAGATCTAAGTGAATTTGACTTCGGGGGTGTTTGGAACTGATTCTGCTTCTGCTTCTTTTTTAAAGAAGAAGCAGAATCAGAATAAGTTTTCAGAAGCTGGTGCCCCCTAGCTTCTAAAAAAATTGATTCTGAGAGTAAATTAGAGCACCAAAAGTGCTTCTGGAATTTCATCCAAACACTCCAGCTTCTGCTTCTGCTCCTTGCAAGAGTACAATCAGTTTTGAGAATCAGATCCAAACACCCCCTTCATGTGCATTGGAAAATGAGAAAGTTCTGAATTTGCCTTCAACTATACAAAAAATTTAACAGGGTTTCTTTTTTCAGTTCTTCCAGGGGAGATCATCCAGCCAGTCAGCCACATAGTTGACAGCCAAGAAAACTATAAAAGAATAAGTATGTTTATATGCGCAGAGGCGCCTGATGGGTTTAGAGTATGTTTTGCGGGTGTGTATGGTCATTCGCATTTGTTCAGAAATCGCAATTAAAAATGACAGCAAAATGAGAAAAGGTAGAAGATAACCCAGCACTGCATCTAGCTATTTGAGTACCCAATTACATACTTCTCCGAAAAACATGAATAGATAAATCTCCACAGTGGCATTGCCTTAAACTAAAAAATTATATGGGCTGATAAATCAAGAACCCAAAAAGGAAAATGGGAAAAAGAGAGCGATATGTACTTAGAAGTGGGAATGCCTTTACAGAGCTCTCTGCTGCAAGAGAGAGCGCCCTTGTGGAGCCAAGAGTATGTGTCCACGGCAACGCAGCAACCCTCTAAGTCCTTGGCGTGAACGGGCAACATTATAGATTTCAACAATGGCAGTAGTCCCTGGATACCCATTTTTGTCGACCCGCCGGAGATGGAACTTACTGGGTCCGAGTTCAAATCATTGAAATTGAGTTTCAGCTGAAATGGTGTGGTGCCCTAATTTTCTCAAGCGTATCGGGTGGTTATGGGGATTAGAGAGAGGGCAGAAAGGGGGGAATTCAGGCGGGAAAGTTACTGTGGAAAACGGGGGAAGATAAATGCTTTGAATTCTTATGGGGAACACGAATCGAGCATACGTTTTTGGAGTAAAAAAAAACTTGAACAGAAAAGTACGAAGTAATTTATAAAGACATCACCATGCTCTGGAGTATTTTTTGGGGTTAAGTGAAAAATAAAACGAACATTTCGATGTTTACTACCATTGAATCAGAAAATTCAGAAAATGGTCTAAGAGGAGAAATTAGGATAAATTCCAAACATTAGATTTGATAATTGAATATTATGTCAAACAAAGTTATGTAACATCATTAGTAAAAAAGTTGTGATACCTCTGTAAATAACTTCAAATTTTTCAATATATGAGAACCTTTAATCGTTTTAGCTCATTCTCATTTCTCACTTGTAGAGGTGTTCTCACTTAAACTGAATCCTTTAATCGTAAACTACATCAGTTTAAGTTAGAAACACCTATTTGAAAGAATATTTTTAGTTACTTAAAAGAAAAAGTTACTTTGGAAACTATTGCAACCACTCTTTTAATGTACGGAGTATTATATACAATGTGATTTTGTTGCACTTCTAAATAAAAATTACATATTAAGAGATGAGTTTTCAAAAATATTTCTAAAATAAAACGTATTATGTATTCATTTAAATATGACTGAAGCTATTAAAAGTATAATGTTATACTCTGTAGTTACTTAAATGTAAAAGTTGAACATAAAATAATCACTAAATTTATCGGTATAATCACTATTACAATAGTAACATGTTGGGCAAGACTATCATAAATAATACACATTGTTTTAATTGCGTAAGGCATTATAAATCACGTATGAACATTATTATACCAATGATACATCATCATCACCTGTAGCTTCATGTTGCGTTTTACCATATGTGCGTGACTTGAGTTTTATAAGTAGTTGTGCATGTTGTGGCTTAAATTAAGGATGTTTTTACTTGGACTGTAATTTGCCCCAGACCAGACCAGACCAGTCCAGACCAGACCAGACCAGTTCAGACTAGACCAGACCAGACCAGACTTGGATAGTTATAAAAATACAAAGAAACCAGACCTTACCAGACCAGACCAGACCAGTTCAGACCAGACCAGACCAGATCAGACCAGACCAGACCAGCAAATTACAGTCCAAGTAAAAACATCCTAAATACTTTTATTATGATTGTTATTGTTGTTGTAGTGGCCATTGTCACAAGTATTTGGTATATAATTTTTAACTATGTAATTGATTGACGGTGCAAAAACCGTGTGACTAAGATTAATTTATGCAGAAGTAAGTTTTGTGGGGCATTAAAAAAACAGATTTGATCAAAGACTTATGAGACAAAAGGATTAATATTTGTGAAAACTATGTTGTGTAATATTTCGATATTGTCACATAGTAGTAGTATACTACTCTATTCATGGGTAGTTATTTACATAATGAGCAAGCTCAGTACATGACATTCATATTCCATCAATCCTCTTCTTCATACATGCTCCAACAAATCAGACCAAGTCACCAAGTTAACCTAGCCTATCAACTACACTACGTGTAGAAAATCAGTGGCCATTGCAAAAAGCAGTTGTCTTCTCCACATACCCTCCCTTACAAAAAGAGGAAATGCCAACTCCGAAGTTTGAATCGTTTGTGTTTGAGAAAGCCCATATCCATCAATACTCTCAAAATACACACTTCGTTATATAGTGTCATGGCTTAAACCAAATACTTTTAATGTTGTTGCGGTGGCTATCAATCTATCATCACAATTAACTGGCACATACTCCATACTATATACCCATCTGTCCCGGAAAGATTAGCCAAAATTAACTTTCACGTGCAGAGGAGAGAGAATTAACTTTAACCACATATTTCTTAATTTAAATGGAAATGACCAAACTTTTTTGGGACATCCAAAAATTGGAAATTTGGCCAAACTTCTCAGGACGGATGGAGTAACATTTACGAAAGCCTCGTCTAATATTCAGTTACCGTCACATATTATAATACTACGTAATACTCCCTCCGTCCCTAAATAAACTTCCAACCTTCCTTTTTCGTCCGTCCCAATTAAAACTTCCACTTTCCTTTTTTGGCCAGAATTTGTGGTTCACAACAATTCTTACACATTTCTCTCTCCTCTGTACAACTCTTCATCACACAATACCCACTATCTTAAATTCCGTGCCAAACCTATTTGGAAGATATAATAGGGACGGAGGGAGTATATAATACTATAATTGGTTGGACAATTATCAAACACGTAAGAGCAAGCCCGGGAATGCATTACGCATATACGAACTTATATTCCATCATTCCTACTCTTCACACATGCTCCATAGTAAATTCACCTAGCCAACCAACTTTAGTACTTGTAAACTACACCCTCCCTCCCAAACTTATTGTCCCGTTTGGTTCTTCACACATATTAAGAAAATGACACTGTAGCAACACTGTTTAACACTGTAGCCACACTGTTTGCCACTGTAACAACACTATTTGACACTATTTTGCACTGTTTGACACTGTTTGGTATAGTTTTGTTTACCAAATAAGGAAGGTAAAGAAACGAAACAATTATTTCGGAATGGACCGAAAAGGAAAGCGGGACAATAATTTTGGGACGGAGGGAGTATATCTCAAAGACTCCAAGGTCTTCAACCAATGGCTAATGCAAAAAGGAGTTGTCTTTTCCAAGATCTTCTCCCTTACAACAAGAGGAAACGTCGTCTACACTCACTCTACACATTCAACGCAAAAAGTCCTAAATAAAAAGTTTAAAACATTCACATGTTAAAAGAAAACACTCACCATTGGAGGCAAATCGCAATCACATGTGTACATTAAAGATAAGAAGAATGAATTTTTCTACAACGAAAAATAAAATAATTTAGTTTAAGACTAATAGTTTCGGCGAACGAGAACAATAGCATGAACACAGAGGAATGCTTTCAGAAGCTAGAGATGTTTTTTCAGAGTGTATAAACTTGCATGCAGTGTATGAATTCGTGTATGTTGCAAAGCACCTGCTAGCCAATTTATAGGGGTGAATTTTGGTGTGTTAATGGGGTGTTTAAGGCTTGTGAACGTTGGACATCAATGTCCTAAACGTTGGGCATTGATTCCATCCAAAAACGTGCATTAAGGCAAATCCACCATAATTCTACAACGAAAAATAAAAATTAGAGCACAAAGTTTAAACTTCAGTAATGCGAGTGGCAATAATTTTCCTAAATAGAGATCAAATAGAGATCCAAGAGTATGAACGGTTCAAAATACTATCAAACATCTTTTTGCGACACATCCATTTATTCATTAGTCAAACCTACTAATTAAACCACTATTAAGTATTAACACCCCCTCACGAATCTGATCTAATGAATGTCAAACACGTCCTGTATAACGTAGGACAAAATAGAAGAAAAATATTTTGCTTAGATCATCGTTATCATCACTATCCGGCTGCTACCCCAGTGCCGCAAAGAGAGATGGAGCCAAGTGTTGGTTTATGGTGTCAAATGACACCACTCAAAATGTATTTTTATTGTATGTATGTATATATGGAATGAAAATGTTAAAACGGCATCACTAATTTTTTTATAAACAGGGTCAATATATATATATATATATATATATATATATATATAATATTCTCCCTATCTCAAAAATTTTCATGTACAATTTAAAGAACGGTGTTGATGATATCTAATTAGAAAGTGAAACAACAATATAGTACTCCTAATTATGAATTTACATTATTTATACTTAGGGGTGGACTCGGGCCTGGTGGCCCGACCCGGAACCGGCCCGAACCGGCACTGTTCCGGCCTGGTCAGTGACCGGTCCGGGTAGGCCCGATCCGCTGGGGTCCGGTCCGGGCTCGGGCCCCCCAAATCATGAGCCGACCAGGCCAGTTCAGGCCCGGTTACGGGCGTTTTTAATTTTTTTTTAATTTTTTTTACTTTTCGGGTTGGGTTGGATATTTTGGGCTATTTGGGGTGGTTTGGGGGTGAGGGGGAGGGTTGGGGGTTAACTACGAAAGGAAAAGCAAAAAAAAATATAGCTAAGGCCCGAGGCCCGGCCCGACCCGGAACCGGGGGTTACCCGGGCCAATTCCGGGCCCCCATTCCTGAACCGGAGGCCCGACCGAGCCTAGGCCCGGCCCGGGCCCAAACCGGCCCGAGTCCACCCCTATTTATACTCTTATAGTCTGTCGAGTAACACTGAAATTGACTGAATCAACTAGTTCTATTGAAATTTATATAGTTTGACTCAACATGCTAGATTAGTTGTTAAAATAAAGAAAAAATTATATGAGAAATAGCTAATTGACTGGGACGGGTCAATCTGACCCGGGACCCAACCCAGACCAATACTGTGCAATCCCGACCCGGCCCGGACAGGCGGTACCAAGACCCAGGGCCCAAGCCCGTTGTTAATGGGGCAGGCTACAGGCTGGGATTTTAATGGATCAGCCCGAGCCATTTTTTTTTTTTTTGGGCTTTGGGCTGCTGCTAGGTGAGTTGGGTGTTTTGGCGGGGCTTGAAGGGTGGGGTGGAGTAGGAATGGATTCGAAAAGGATATAAAAAATTTACCAGACCCAGGCCTGGCCCGGCCCCGGTCCATACCCGGGCTAGTACCTGGCCTTCTGCACAAAACCCCAGTCCCACCCAATCCTGGACTAGTCCATGCCTATTCATGCCCAGCCGCAAAGGCTCCCACTTATGGTTTAGTAAGAGGGGATCGATTGTACACCATCTTACCCCTTACTAAAGGGACTACTCTGCTTGGGACCTAAGAAAATAATACCATATATACATGAACTAAAAGTATATAAAAGTTTTACGATAATAACAACTACATAAAGCATGGCAGTCCGTTCCAATATCCACTCGAAGATGGTATACATCCATCACCCACGATTTGGTGGTCAAGACCAAAAGGGCTTGACTACATGAGAGAGAACAAAAAGAAGTGCAATAACACTGCAAAGAGAAATTGTCCTAAATAAGAGTAATTTGCCAAGTTTTCTATTCCCTGTATAGGAGTAATTTGCCAAGTTTGGAAAAAATGTCATGTTTAAAGCCTTGTAATGCCCAAACTTGAAAGATATTTTATGCTATTTAGGGAATAAAAAACATGATACTCCTTTTTTGGAATTTCAAAACGTTTTTACTCCTATATAGGGAATTCTCTCCACTGCAAAAGGGCAGGTCCAAGTTATATTAACCACCGAACAACTAGCTCACATAAGATTTGATAATACTGGGAACATTTTGTATGGATAATATCCAGCATTCAATTGGTTTCGAAGTCAAGACTTATGCTGTGTAACGATTCTTGGCATTCCTGTCAAGTTTCTTCGCATCATCCTACAAAACGACATGTTTCACTGTTACTTGACCCATATTCAACAATGAGCTCACCCCCCCCCCCCCCCCCCCTACTAGATAACTTACATGAAATATGAAACCGATTGTGTCTTTGTAATCCAGAAACTCCTTCCATTGCTTCCCAATACTAACCTACACAAATGAAAAGATAACAGCGAGGAATTATAATTGCAGTTCAATTATATGTAGAATATCAGTTAGGAAATATGCCCAAAACCCCAAGTATTCTGGTCCAGACTAAAAATTTGCTTCTGGAACCTAATATATTCAAAGGGGTATCACTACCATCAAATACTTAACTTCCAATCCTTAATATATTTCATCAACATGATCATTTGTTATTTCATATTCCTGATTAAACCTTTTCACAAAGTGAATCATCCAAACTTACTCCTCAAACAGCCAGTGGTGAGAAAATTTTATTCTGGATAAAATACCTGGGCTGATTCATTGGCAGCATTCTTGGTCCAGATAGAAATTTTGTCCTGCCTATTTCGGACATTCACAACAGCTCCACATATTTCATCGCCATGGTCAAATTGCTCCCCAATCATTGCCAACAACTAGTAAGACCAAATCCACCCAAAAATCAGAGCACAAAGAATCTCACAAAAACTCACCACAGATGTATCAAGTAAACTGTAAAAGAAAAGGAAGCTCATGTACCGTATACAACCAACTAGTATCAGATTTCCCCCTTCCATAGGTTACAGTCCACTTCCCTCCATTGGCACAAATAGGATCCTCCCACTTTGGTTCAATTTTATGCTTGAAACAATGGAAATCCGCTCCAATGCCCAACTTGCTCGGATGGTGTATGTTATTGTAAACACTGGAAGCAAGATATATAAAGAAAACCAGTTCTCAGATGGATATGGAGAACTTATGTTCTAACCCTATAAAGCATAAAAGACACCGAATAAAAGTTGATAGATCTGCAGTCTGCACTTCTTTGGCTTTATAATAAGGCAGATAAGGAAGGATCTGATCAAACAATATGCATACATATGTACTTGGATACTGAAAATTACGAGAAACCGAAAATCCCTAATTCAAAATCAATCGAAAAATACAATCTAAAGGCTACCTCCAGAAATCTTCAACCGTGGAGAAAGTATACACGGGACGGATAGAGCTTCCCCAGGCGGCCTGTTTGGATTTAGCAGAGGGGTTATCAAACCAGAAGGTCCACGAGTTCTCTAACGGGTGTTTTGTCGTCAATCCCTTGTCTGGATTGGGCATCTCATCTGACTCGCCCGCGATCTCTCCTTCCTCCAATCCGTCTGCTGCATCTCCTCCGTCGGTGGCTGACGATAATGAGGATTTCTCGGGTTCCTCCGGTTGAGTTGATTTCTCCATTTCTTCCACCATCTTGAGAACTAGAAGTTTTGGGGCGAAGAGTGTATCAGTGCGAAGGTACGCAGCGTTTATATAGGTCTCCTGTTCTCTATAAAATTGAGAGTATAAAAAAATTAAAAAACTAAATAAAACATTGAAGTATAAATTTAACTTACTTTTTCTTCAAAATATTTAGATTAGTGGTAAGAATTAAAATTTGAAGAACATTGAAATTTACTAAGGTATAAAAACATAACTCCAATGTGATGTAAGTAGATAAGTAGATATTAATGATATAAAGATTTTGATTGAAATGTGTGAAAGATTATGTGATTATATCATTCTTTATACTAGATTTCTTGACACTACGGATTATAATTTGTATTGTATAGATGGGTGAGGCATGCCTCATATATGGTGGTTGAATTGATTATGGCTTCATTATTGTCATAGTAATAATTGATGCATGATAATTTTTGTGATGCCTCCCATCCTAGTACAAACAGTGGGTAAGATTCATCTGAGTTATTCCAAGCAATGTGTATGAAGAGTAATGATCTGGTCAGGCGCGCCTCACCAGATGTGTTGTGAGGACTTGTCCGTTTGGGTGCCTTCTCGGTCGAATTTTTTGATGAAATTTTTTTATCAGGTTTCTCATCAAGTCTAGTTTATCCATACTAAATGTCAGCTCAAAATTCGATCGGGAAGGCAGTCAAATAAATTCTTGAAACATACTGGTCATTCTGTGCATATATAAAGACCAGTATGTTTCAAGAATTTATTTGACTGCCTTCCCGATCGAATTTTGAGCTGAAATTTGGTATGGATAAACTAGACTTGATGAGGAACCTGCTCAAAAAACTTTCATCAAAAAATCCGACCGGGAAGGCACTCAAACGGGCAAGTCCGCACAACACATCTGGTCAGGTGCGCCTGACCAGATCATTACTCTGTGTATGAATGTGTCTTGACTATAGATTTCTATCTACAATCTACAAACTTATAAATGCCAATGAAGGTTAGAATCCTTTTGGGAATGTAAATTTGTTGGTGTAACACTTGAGCATAATGAAGTTGCATCCTACTCCGTATGTTTTATTTGTAGTACCTTTTATTTATATGCCCTGAACTCGTCTCTCCGTTAAAATAAAAACATAAACGGCAGTTACCCCTCTAATGTTTGTTGTTCTTTTCATTAAACATAGTAAGTACATGGTAATATTTATGGCTGTCATCATTTACATATGTTTCTAAAGACTAAAGTGTTGCCTATTCCGTCTTTTTTCTCAGTCTGTTCATTTCTTATGAGTTTAAATTTAAGTTGGTACGTTTTGTGATCTACTTTTACTTTTCGTTTACGGTTTACACAAACAAACACGATATTTCGTGCTCACAATCTATGATTTACATGTTGTATAGAGTTGCAAATGGGGCTACAATAATTCTACGATTACCTCTGGCTTACACACGTTTGAGGGACTGTGTTCAAAGTGGTTTTGAAATTTTTAGCCCTAAGTGATTGCTTTATGTCTAACTGTTTTGTATATTGTTGAGTTACTAATTGATTTCATAGTAAGCATTTTGGTAAAATGCTTCCCTTCACTTGAATTCGAATTTTGTGATATCTTTAGTGTTGTTTTTATTGCTAAATTAGATTTTTTGGACGTTTCATAGTCTTGTAGACGTTGAACTTATACTCCCTAACTCCTAAGCTCCATGCCTTCAAACTTTGTCAACTTTGAACTTTTGGGTCAAACATGTTCAACTTTGACCAATTATATACAAAGTATTTTTTTAGAAAGTTATTTATAATATAAAACTGAAATGATAATGATTTTTGTTAAAAGCGTTTTCATAAAAGTATAATTATGACTTCAAAAATATTATACTCTGTACTACATACTAATCAAAATCATAGACTCGTGAATCTCATGATCCAAATTAAACCATCGTTCACTTGAAAAGTCAAAGATGACAAAATTTTAAAGGACGAACGTAATTTCTAATTAACTACATGCTCTTTTCTATCTTTCCTCTCTCTTTTTCGTTTATCATTTTTCTTCTTTATCTTTTTATGTTCTTATGTTATTTTTATCTTCTAACTTTTTATGCTCTTTTATCTTTTTATCTTTTATCTTTCTTATATTCTTATATTATTGTTATCTTATATTTATTACGTAGTATCTTTTATCTTTATCTTATATTCTTATTCTCCATGTACGTCTTCTGTTTTTGGCATCGATATCATGGATTGATTTATGTTACCCGACCCAAAATTTTTTGGATTAAGGCTTGCATGTTGTTTTTATAGTGAGACTCTCTGGGAGAAAGAATTTCGGCTGAGATATGCTTATATCCCTCTAAAGGTGGGCCTAAAGAGGGCTTAATCATTAAATTCAGTCTCCTGATTTCAATGTTAAATTAATTTTTAGTTTTTGAGAAACATTCAAGATGATGAGCGGGCTATATAGTGTTTGCTTTATTTAAAGTAAATAACACTACAAAATTACTACGGAGTACGTACTAATCGACAGGTTTGCAAAAATTCTTCACTTTGATGAATCAACAAGATGAAATAACGATCTAGGTTCTTGATTCCAGAAATTATTTTTGGAAAAATCAAATCAAGAATAATATTTGTGATAAAATGATTGGGTGATTTTGTGGAGAGCTAGACATCAAACGTTAGGATTCACTTGGTTGTCCAGAAATTTTACATTGGACAAGCCATATTGGTTAATTTCTCTAATTTTCAAGGGAAAAAGATATCTATTACTACATCCGTCCCCCTAAGTTTGGGACAAAGGGATGTGTTGTTGTTTTTAAGAAAAAGTGGAATTATGTGGTTGGTATTGAATTGATAAAATGTAAATAAAGTAGGAATGAATTCTAACCAGTCAATTAGTCAAATATTACCTAATATGGTATGAGACAAACTTAATGAGACGGGCGAAACAGGTAAAACGAGACAATGTTAGGGGGACGGAGGGAGTATAACTTTAGATATGTTTGACAATGAATTTTGAGTGGTATATTACCGGTCAAAATTTTTTGCAATGTGCATCAAGGTTGTCATCTTGAAATATGATAGGCCTATGAGCCAAACATTCTTGTCTAGTTGTCCATAATGCTCTTGATAAGTCCGTATTTAGACACGCATTTGATGCGTGTTGGGATTGGACTTTGATGGTTTTCCTAGATTTAAGGTGTTACAAGTCTCAATTTTAGCTCAAGTTATGTTTACCGGACGTTGGTTCGAGTTTTGTGTTGTTTGTAGTCAAAATCAGGGAATTTGAGCCCGACACCGGCACTTGAGGAACAATCGGGATGATTTGAGAAGCATTTGAGAATGATTTGATAGCTTTGGAGGTCTCCGGAAGATTCACGATGAAGATTTGAAGGAAAAAGAGCTCTAGGATTGGCTACGAGGTCAAAAGAAGATGAATGAAGCTTGAAAACGACGATCAGGATGACCTTCTGTCAATCGTTCATACATATCTCCTTGTAGAAACATCCAAAGTACACGATTCAAGTTTCATAGGAAAGCCAACTTCAAGGGATACAAATCATATGAAGACATCTTTGCGATAATCGGAGAGGAAGAAGGTGAAAACAGACGATGAAGACAGATGATCTCTGCTGCGGTTTCAGAAAGACACCTTCCACCATTTTGATCATATCTCTGGATTGGATGATTCAAATCACATTCGGAAAATTGGGGGTGGATAGAGGACTTCATTATCTACAACTTTCATGAAGAAAGTTTTGTCAAATTCGGAAGTTACGTAGGCACGATCGTGCCCTCAAAGTCAGACACGATCGTGCCTGAAGAGAAAAGCACCGCGGAGCTACTGCCTGCCAGGCACGATCGTGCCTGGAGGGAGGCACGATCGTGCCTGCCCAAAATGCGCGTTTTTGCTCCGGAGGCACGATCGAAGGCACGATCGTGCCTAGCATCGTGTCTGGCTCCGAAAATCCTAATTCAGCTCAAATTTCACCCGATTTTTCTATTTAAACAGCTTGTAAACCCCCGTTTTCAAGGGGGGAGCTTAGAGAGAGTGCCTAGCACGAATTTTAGAGGTCTTTTCAGCCTTGTTCATCAATCTTTTGGGATTCTTTGTAAGTTCCACCTTTTTAATTAATGACAATTAATTCTTTTTATTCCGATTCTATTGATTCTTCAATTATGAATTGTGAGTAGTTTTAATTAGGGATTTGGGATTGATGAAGGGGTTAATCATGATGTATGGCTAGATTCTTTTCGGTTTAATTGCATGAATGCCGTTTAATTTGTGTTTGAATAATTTAATTGATATCTTTTGTAACCTAGAATCGCGACTAGAATTACAATTGCATGTAGAATAAATTAAGAGAGATCTAATTTGTTCTAGGACACATTCACACACACTTAATCGTTCGCTAAGAGATTAGTAGCGATTAAGGGGCCGTAAGCTCGCTCGTCTTGGCAATAATTTATTATCCTGTCGCATGAGAGATCAGCCTGGTCCCCTAAATTATTGTACTCTACGCCGCGAGAGCGGTAAGAACTTAGTAATGATTAGCTAGGCTCAATTAAATTAATTTCATGTAATTAGGCCTGATCTGCCAGAAATCTGGTTACCCCGGAATCGATCCCTGTTTCCTTCGTCATTAATTAGAGAGAACCCATTTATTTTAATTGTTCACATTACTTTTATTTTCCAAACCAACCAATTCTCGCACGACACTTTTATTTTATTTTCTTTTTAATCGCTGAATTTAATTAATTCTTGATTCCCTTTTGTCCGTCCCTGTGGAGACGATACTCGTACTTACACCACTATATTACGATCTATTTTAAGTGCGAGAAAATATCACATCAGCTCTCATGCTCCCGTTTTAGATCTACCCCATGAAATAAAGGATTCTTTTAGTTTTTTATGGAGCCTGAAACCGGACCTACCTTTATCTAGATTCTGTTAAAAGAGCTCGCTAGATGATCTGAATTAGAAGAAGACATTGTTTACATTGACAAGATATATTGTTTAATTTCTCCTAATTTTCAACGGGAAAGTAGGACTTGCCATAGGTATGTTTTCCATTCCAAAACTGTCACTGGTAATATAGCACTAAAAATGAATAGTTATATTGGTTTATTTAAAGTTATTACACAATTCAAAACACTTTTACTTTAGATATATATGTACTTGGTGCTATGAAATGTGCATTGGGCATTATTATCTCAATCGTGCAACGCGCGTCGTAATAACTAGTTCTCAGTAATATGATTCATTTGGTGTTAAATGGTAGATGTCATCTTGATCATACTCACTTCCTCCTTTAAAATTTTGTTAAGTTTGACCGACACGAATAATAATAAAGTAAAAATTGTGTGATTGAAGTTTGTGCAGAGAAGAGAGAAATAACATGAACCACAAATTAATTGTTTAAAAGCGAAAGTGACAAAGTTTGTTGGGACATCCCAAAAAGGAAATATGACAAATTTAAGGGACATAAGAAATACTCCTTATGTTATATGAATGTAACTATGTAAGCCATCTAGCCATATATTTTTGGGTGGTTGTGCTTAGCTTGATAATGACACGTAGATAATTTGAATCACGAAGTTTCAAGTGTGGCTCATTAGACTATTCATCTATCCAAAAAAGGCCTGGAAGAATCTGACAGTTTATTCTACATTTAAGAGGGTTAATTGCATAAGTTAATGATGCATTTATAAGGCTTAATGATGGCTGTTATAGCTTATTTGTATTTATTATTATGATTAGTAACATAATAAGAAAAGAGGTTACTCAATTTGAGCTAGCCAATATTAATTACAGGAATTAAAAATGTCAGGCCGAAACTGTCCGTAACAGCCAAAACGCCCATAGGCACATTTACTACCTCTCAAAGTATGAACATGTCCTATTGTACTGTGACAGATTCTCATTCGAATAACACACTGGATTATATTCTTACTAGTGTAACACCTGAGGCATGTCCGGTAGTATCACATTGATATGGATTAAAATGGTAAATATTAATAGATGTTATGATTTATTTAGAGAATCCATTAATATCATTTTCTATGATAAAAATATATATGTGCTAATATTTTATTGAAAAATGAGGGTGGTTAAGAGAATTGATGTGTATATGATTTACTAATTATTTTGATTTTAGACTTTTTATTACTTTTGTTTGCTCTTCATATGCACATGAGTTGAAAAAGGTTCATAGTGCACACGATAATAGCAGTAGTGATGAATGAAAATGAATGTGCTCCCTGTCATTTATAAACTTTAAAAGAAAATTATACATTTTGAAATATTCTTAGTACAAAATAGTTATTCTATATTGCACCATTCTTCTCGACCCAATAAAAAATTCAACTCATTTCTATTAAGTTATCACTCGAGAAAGAGCCACACCTAGATGTCCATGTGTGAATGCGTTAAACATAAAATTGCATTTTAGGTCTTAATTAGTGTTAATCATATACTGCACGTGTCTCAAATTGAGTTGCAAAGTTGACTTTTGTGGGTCGAACAGATTCATTTTATTCACTTAATTAGGATATCCTTTATTCATTAAATATTAATTCGAATTTTGGAACTTTATAAAAATTTTAATGTTGTTTTTGACACTACAAGAAAAATGCCGAATTGCAATGCACATTTCCATTGCAAAATGTTCAATTTCCGTTGCAATTTGTGCTTTGCAACAACAAATGCAATGGACAAAATTCCGTTGCATTTCACGTCCTTGCAATTATTTGCAATGCTGGTTCAATCCGTTGCAATGATATACAACGGAAAATGCAACACATGTATTTCCATTGCATTTTGTTTGCAACAATCATATTCCGTTGCATTTTCCATAGCTAATATTGCAATGAGTTTTTCCGTTGCAAAAAATGCAACAGAAATGTAGTTGCAATTTCAATTGCAATGTTGCAACAAAATTGTATACATTATTGCAAATTTCGTTGCAAATTTGCAATGAATTTAACCGTCGTTAAGTTTATTTTTCATTGCAATTTCCGTTGCAAAAGTGCAATGAAATGAATTTTTGTTGCGATGTTAATGACCGAACTACAATAAATGCTCATTGCAAGTTTCTCTTGCACATATTTTGTAAAAAAATATAACAACCTACATTTTGTTGCAACCTGTATAAAATTATATTTTTAAACCATACAACAGTACAACTAGATCATAACAACGATTAATATCAATAGTAATGCCTCAAATAATAATAAAAATTATAAATTATAAAGAATGGGTTGTCCAACCTCCTGGTAACAATAATAATATCTCAAATAGTGATTACATCTTTAAGAATACTAGTAATCAAATGACTAATTAAAACCGACCATCATCTTAAAAAGAACTCTACCTATTACGAGCTAAAGTTTCAATCTGCTCTTGTAAAGCACGGATGACATCATCTGTTTTTTGTTGCTTTTGTTCTGCTTGTTGTTGAAATTCCTTTTGTTGTGCCACGTTCTTTTGCAAACGTTCCACCTCAGCTTTCAAATGATTAATTTCAGCACTACTGCATTGTGGTGATGAAGTGTCCATTTCAGAAGAGTACTCTGAAGCTTTACGATGAATATTTTGTGTACCATATGAGCCAGTTCCATACAATCTATTCTTTGAGTCAGGTCCACCAACAACATCATAGAATAGCTCATCATCATCTACTTCCTCACCAATATCAATTAGCTCCTCACGACGTAAAACAAATTCATCCTATAATATTTTATTGAATTTATATAACAGCAAATTGTTTAAAAAATAATAATATTTAAAAAATACTTACATTCACTTCTTTAGCCTGATCATTTACGAAAGTCTCTCCATCGTGATTCTTTGTATGTGTATACAAAAAAACCTGATAACTTGTCACCGTAGTTTCGGAGTCCTTTTCCTACATAATAATTACTCATTTGTAACGTACAATGTTAGAGAATTAGAGTAATCAAACAATAAATATCATATGAATCACAATATTAGACATGTTGAATAAATAAAATATAATCATATCACATATAATCATTTAGATAAGGAACATCTAAAAAGAAATGCAGCAGTGGAGCAGCAGGATACACCAGGAGGATTACACCCATCAGAACATTGTGTGACCAAAACTAAGGACAATGCACGACAACCATCATCCAGTGAGGACATGGACATAAGTGAGAAGAAGATATGGGAGCAGGTGTGTGCACTAAGGGAAATATTGGGATACACAGATGCAACTCAATCATCCAGTGGATGAAATAAAAGCTCTTTTTGTGTTCATTGGAGTTGAACCACCACCATCATTCAATGACCCTTCAGAAATCATAAATGTCAATGAGATGCTCAGGATTCTAATGCCAATTGTAGGAATCAAATAGACAACATTGGCTATTTTACTGGTTGTCTTTATTCGAAGTACTCACTTTAGGATTTTTTTTGCATGGGCACCCAAACTTATTATTGATTCAGAATCTTTTGTTAACTGAATTCATATAGCTCTGCTTTTCTTGAGCTTATTGGATGTTGCATTTTATGATATGAAATTACTCTAAAAAAAACGGGGGGGGGGGGGGGGGGGGGGGGTATCACAGTCGAAGGCAACCTTCGAGTGATGCTAATTTGAACACTTTAGCAAACTATGGTAGAAATTACAAGCTAGGGAGAATGTGGCATGGAAATAGAACAAATCAAAGGCAACTTACAATTTGACTGGCAACTTTGGCATGAGATATGGCCCCACTAGTATGAGTAGATAGGGCAGTCTTCTCTAATTCACCTTGACGCCTATTTTTTTTGCTTTGATTAGATTTCTTCTGAAATTCTTCACTACTCCACATAGTCATCCAACTATCCCAAACTTCTTGAGTGATTGATGAATTCCTCTGACATCTTCCTGTTTTCATATTACTGAGATAATTGGAATATCTTTGTTTAGCTTTTGTAGTCCACGCTGCCTTTATTGAAGATTCCATTATAGGATTCCAATAGCAATGCTTCTACAAATCATTGTAAATTTATTATAAGTCAACTAAAATATAATAATTGTTTGCTGCCAATTATCTTTTCTTGATTGTTCATAGTTAAAAATACAAAATATAAGATAAATGATTGAAAAGGTACCTTAAACTCATCCCAATAAAACTTTATTATATCTTCACTTAAGTTAGCCCATGAGTAACCATGAGGATCAACCCTTTCCTTGAAAAGAGAAGTAATCTTTCGAGAACATTCTTCTGAAGGAAGTAATCTGTATAATGAAAAAATATAATTTGAAGCATTAACTATAAGAGAATAAATATTAATAAATAGAATCTATTTATATAACATGTTTTTATAAACTTAACACTTACTGTTTGTTTTTAACTCCAATGCACAAACGGCCATTTGGACCTATAGACCAATGTGATCACTTTTCTAAATAAAAAATTTAGAAAAGTGATATATTAAAACTCAATTTGTGATATATTAAAAATTATGCAAATAAGTTAGTGAATAAAATAAGTTACAAATAAAGTATATCATAAAAATTAATTCAAGTAGCAAATTAGTAAGTTGTAAAAAACCAACTTATATTATATGCAAAGATGTAATCCTAACTTCTAAACAGATGTATAGTTATATTAATGCTTAAAGTAGACTCAAGAAAGCTAAACATACTAGATGCATATAAAACGGAAAAAAATGCTTTAAAAATTCAAAAAGGAACCAAAGATAAAACAAATGCTTTGAAGTGTTGACCACTCTTCAAATACACCCTTATTAATCCTGTTTGCAACGATCTGAGTAATACAGTATGTACTACTTCAACTTGGATATTTCATGGTGGCTAAAAAAAAGGAACCAAACTGCAAGTTAACTCCTCACAAGCATTTTAACAAACACCATGAGTGCAAGAAAGGAAATCAGAATCTTGTCAAGAAAACCACAAGCACCAAGTTGTCCAATCAAAAATTATATTTTGTTACAGCACAAGTTTCTAATTAACCAAATCAAAAGTAATATAAAACAATTACATCCATAATTAACAAGTCCAGAAGTCTCCCCACCTTTATTGCACCAGGCCCAGAAGAAAAACTTCAAGCATACATCGTATAACAAATTAACTCAAACAGAGAAGAAAAGCTTACTTGATAGCGTGAATCCGAGGGCTGCGGAGAAGAGAACCTGGTTTGCAGTGAAATCCCAAAAACGCCGCTTGATGCAGAGAAGGAGAAGCGCAGAGAAGAAGTGCGGCAAACAAGTTTTGGTTGGAGTCCAAAGTAGACTGGATACACTAACTAGGGCTCCGGCAAAATTTTGGAAAGTTTGAGATTTGGCGGTAGTATATTTCACTTCCCGCTACTCTTTTTTTTAGAGGCCCGCTACTCTGTTATTGAGATTTTTTAAACAATAAAAGTTCAATTAACTAGGAACATTAGAATCGGTTTGGTAACACCGAAATCGATTGATTGACTAATTCTGCTAATATTTATGAAGTTCTGGTTGATATGGCTGATTGTGCTAATTTATGAATAAAATTATTTGGAATTATATTTTATTAATAAGATGAAGAAGAAATTATATGAAAAAAATAGCTAAAATGGTCATCAATAATAACTTCAGTCAATACAGTCAGAAAAGAAAATTCAACCTTACTTTTTCTTATTACTACAAAATTCAGCACGCAAAATTAAAAGTTATATATTTGGTTAAAAGTTGGCTAATAAGCTTGAAAAACCGAAAAACAGAGCCACCAAATGAGCTCTTAATCTTTTTTCTTATGTGCTTAATTTATTTTATTTTATCAATGTTGAGTTGGTGCTGAAACTTATAAAAGTTCTGACTATAGTGACCGAATTGACTAATTCTGCTGATTGATGTAAAAACTATATTTGAAATATACATATTATTAATAAAATGGGTTTTTCCCTATATTTCGAATAAATAAGTCATTGACAAAAATATTATTTAGTAACTATTAATGACTATACTTGAAACACTTATAGTCACAAATAATTACTAAGGATGTTTTTACTTGAACTGTAATTTGTTGGTCTGGTCTGGTGTGAACTGATCTGGTAATGTCTGGGCACTTTGTATTTTTATAACTATCCAAGTCTGGTCTGATCTGAACTGATCTGGACTAGTTTTGTCTGGGACAAATTACATTTCAAGTAAAAACATTCTAAGTAATATTTTTTCTACCGCATTTTAAAACAAATACTAATTAATGAATTTTTTCTTAATCAAATGATTTTTTTAAATAAATGATTCTCTATAATAACTTCTAGTCAATACAGCCAATAAAGTTGAAATTAAAAGAGAGTTAATATTTTTTTCAAAAACAAATCGCAACGGAATTGACTCCATTGCAAATTACCGTTGCGGTACAAACTCATTGCAGGGGAGTTTTTGCAATGGTCGGTTTATCTGTTGAAAATCTGTTGCAAATCTATAAGTATGCAACAAAGTGATATGGCATTGCAATTTCTCTTGCAATTATTGCAACAGTATTATTTTTCCATTGCAAAATCTGTTGTAATATATTTTCCCTCTCTTTCTCGGCCACATTTGCAATAAATTTATTTTCCGTTGCAATATTCATTGCTATATTGCAACTACGTCATATTTCGTTGCAGTTTTAATTGCATTATTGCAACAGGTACAAGTCCGTTGCACGGTTCCGTTGCAAAACGTGCCTTTTCTAGTAGTGTGAATATGTGATTTTTAATTATCAAAATTGAATTAATTTTCAATAGGGAGAATATAACTTTAACATTGATTGATAAAAATAATGTTGACTTTGCAAAACAATTTATGGCGGAGGTAGAATAAAAGACTTAGTCGGTTAGTCCCTATGTTTTAAACCAAATTTGGTAAACCGTGACTTGAGCTAAATAAACATTTTGTGACGCAAATAAATTAGGAAAAGTGACAAAATTCAATCTCAACACGCATCAAGTTACTCAAAGCCTTATATAATGTTTCATTATTTTATAGTCTTCCGGTGTGGGAAAAATACTTTTAACATGCCCCTTCAACCCGAACTGGGATGGATAATATCGATGTGTATAAATGGGTCAAACAGACTCTTAACAAGCCACCCTTAATCATGGGTTCTAAACAAGCAATCAAACCACAACCGAAATTGCTCTGATACCATGTTAAGACCCATGGTTCCATCCTAAAAGATCGACCTGATAGGAGTAGGTTATATCTTAATATAGTGTTTAATTCTTTCAGAGATATCCGGTGTAGGACTTTAACATCCCTCCTCATGACCAGACAATTCGTATGAATCGTGTCGTCATTCATTTTTTCATCGATTCGTCATAGTCATTTTTAAAATAATAATGTCATCATTTTTCATAAGGGGGGCCCACAACATTCATTGATTTGGTGTTGATACTATGTTCAGATATGAGGTTCCATCCTAAAAGGTCAACCTGATAGGAGGGGTAGCCCAAAGTCTTATATATTATTTAATTATTTTATAGCTTTCTGGTGTGGTATAAGCGTTTTCCGGCGTTCCTCGCTGCAGGCGTTCTCCGGCTTTCCTTGATGCAGGCATACTCCGACTTTCCTTGCTGCAAGCGTTCTCCGGCTTTCCTCGCTGCAGGCGTTCTCTGGATTTTCTGGTTGTAGGCTTTCTCCAGCTTTCCACGCTGCAAGCTTTCTCCAGCTTTCTCCCACTTTCCCAGCGGCAGGTTGTTTTGGTTACCGAAGAACTTTTTTTCAACCTATCTAGAGGACAACTAGACTCTTAACAATTTGTTTTATGATGAGCACACTGAAGACGTTGATCCCACGCAAATGAATGCCATAGTGGCTTCATATGAAAACTTGATCCTAGAATCTGCACAAGCCCCGACGTATCCTTCCATTTTTAATATTGATGCTATGATAGAGGAGAGGGGTCACAACATTGAAGCAAATTAGGCTCAAATCTACCTGAGCATGTCCCAAAAATTCTAATCAATGAGTGCATATTTCCGGACTTTTATAAAGAGTCACCCTTTCAGTATGCATTTAATTTGAAGCCTGGAGAGTCCATTTTAGTGTATATCCCCATATCCGATCTCAAAGCTAAAGATAGAGGGAACTGACAATGTGGGAGGAGGAAATATCTCTATACAGACCTCACACATGCTAGTTGGATTCCGTTGAAATATATGGAGGGGCATACTGGTGTCACTTCAAAATACCGCATGACTGAGTACACATGCGAGGATGTCCTGCATATGGAGAACTGCATAAGGCTAGGCCGGTTATATTGTGTAGCTTCCAAGCGGTTGATGAACATTTATTAGGAGCTTCTTAAAACAACAATATTGTGTAGCTTCCTCCGGTTCCGGGTTGGGTTCAAATGGGTACTGGTTTTCTCAGGTTTTTACCGTATTTACGGGTTAGTAGTGAATCTGGTTAGATTAGGTGTCGGGTTGCCCGATACCAGGTTGACTTGCCCGGTCCGCGTTGGTTCTTACATCATAGGTCAGACTGTTGGAGGTTGGTGGTGGAGGCATTGAAATGCGGAAGGTGGGAATGAAATAACATAGAAATGATTTGACTATTTTTTAACACTTTGAGAACTTAATTGACTTGTTAAAAGTATGATGACTCAATTTACTTTTTGATAAAAGTAAAGAGAGGTCTATTTTTTGTTAATGAGATCACTATCAAGACTTTCTTTATAAAAAAACATAACAAGCTAACCTTAATCATGGGTACTAAATAAGCAGTCAAACTACAACCGAAATTGCTCTGATACCATGTTAAGACTCGGAGTCTATCCTAAAAAGTCAACCTGATAGGAGGAGTAGCTTAGATCTTAATATAATGTTTAATTCTTTCAAAGATATCCAGTGTGGGATACTTTAACACTCTGGTTCCGGAAACTAGCAGCCCAATTAGCGCTGCACTACTTGTGACACTTGAAACCAGCAAAACATATTGAACATTTATACTATATACATAATTACTTAAAATTAATTTATTCATTTATTTAAAAATAGGGAAAATAACATTAAATAATATGAACTATTAAGGAAATAATACTCCCTTCGAATCTTAATGAACTTGACACTTTGACTGCACATATATTAAGGAAATAAATTTGACTTTACTGTAGAATTCACTGTTCTGACACTGTTTGACACTGTTTTGCATTGTTTGGTACAGATTTGTTTGCCAAATAAGACAAATAATGAAGTGTAAAGTTTAATATGGGACTGCCCAAAAAGGAAAGTATAAAGTTCATTAAGAACCGGA